ACGGAGGTGTCCAGTTCATTGCCGGCAAGGGGTAATCTCTCCTTACACAAGGGATAATCTCTCCTTACACAAGGGATTTGTCACAGGTTGCCTCAGAATGGAATTAGTCGCTGAATATAGTGTCGAACACAACCAATGGGTGCTGGGTTCAACCTTCAGTCAGGGTCAGTCGCTTGTCATTGGAACTTGATAAAGCAAACAGGTGAATATAGACTACACTTGTCACGAAATTGCTGTTGATTCTGCCTTCAAAAAGAAAGTCACTCCTAGTTGGTCAAATGGAAACAGGTCAACGCTCTCCTCATTAACTTAACGAAAACAGGTACTAGAATTGGTCTCATCATGTTAAGTAAGGAAAGTTAACATTCCGATGGCTAAAAACTAAAAAATCATTACGACAATGTGTCATGCAGAAAATTTAAATAGATGAGCTAACTAAATGGGTTCTGAAACTTGTGTAATCCCACGAAGCAGAAGGTTTTAGTATACGGTAACAATGAACGGGACATTTCGAATAGTACTAAACCGTTCTTCAGCTTGGCCTGTACCGCTCCTCACCGATGAGTCGTGTTCTGGGACCCGCTAAAGATAAGTACCATCGTACTGTTCAAAACATTCAGAACAGTTGGTATATGACTGTTCATAAAATTTGTGCTAGAAACCTTGTTATAGTTGCTATATAAATCAAGCACCACCAACGTTCGAAGCAATTTTCCACTGGGTAATTGGTGAGCTTAATGAATCATTATTACTTCTCAAGAATGTACAGGCAGACAGGCCCATGCCTTCACGAAAACTATTCTGAAACCGGTAGGCAGATAATATCGAGTTATTAAGATTTTACTTAACGTGTCTACCTCATTTAGTGCCACGAGCGACTATTTCTCGCAAGTCAGATAACCCATTCGGTGCATCCGTTGAACGTCGTTAGTCTCGCTTTGTTTACTGTTGAACACGGGATTAACTGTGTACCTTTATACGCACACTTCAATCGTTTTTAGCGTTGATACTCTCTGTAAGGAAGGTAAAACGACCAGGTTAATTATATAAACATTTTTTTTTACTTTTTTCATACTACATATCCTCTTATTTCTCTGCATTAATAATTTGTTAATTGAAATTGAATGTGTGTGCATCCAATCAATCAAGCTAAATGAAAGAACCTTAAAAACATGCTAGTGCTATACTGTATCGACGTACTGTAAACACATAACGAATAGGGTGTGATTTAAGCGTTGGGTGCGTCGAACCTCAATTACGTAAAATTCGCGTTATGCAAAAATTTTAAGAAGATAGCGTTTAGGAAAGTCGGGGTTTGTTTGCATCCCTTTACTTTTTGTTCGATCTCTTTGTTTGACATTTCGAGTTTCATGCATTTGTCTTTCAGCTCGTACAATTCTGATTCCATGATTACATAGCGTTTCGAAAGTAGGGCCTTGGATCTAAAGCAAAAACGTTATATAATTAAACGAATACTGCATTTGAAAATCATGTATGCACGTTTAATTGTTGTAGCTTAATTACAACTGTATGCAACATTTGTGCACTCACTTTATTCAGTGCTGTTACGATGAGGCAATCGATGAGTAGCACGCACTTTCACACTATCGGATGTTGCGGTTTTGCAAGGAGTTACGATCACCCTATGTACATTTTTGCCCCTGTTTGCCACTGCTTACTATCTAATGTTCTGTTTAATGTCTAAAATACGATCATTCTTATACCTGGTTAAGGTATTTGTCTATACATGCGATTCAGCACCGTCTCTGATGGCTTTCAGCCGAAACATTTCAGACATTCGATTCTGATTGCGGAAATTCCGACTATCACAGAGAAATGGTTTTTGGTACGTGGAGATTGGTCGTTTGATAGTTGAAAGTCTGCCTCCAAAGAAGGACCTTATAGCGCCAGGAAGGGAGAGTTGTACCGTCTGATCTGTACAGCACATATTGACTGTAAACTACCAAATAAATATCCATCATGTCTCGTCTTGTGGCATTCCAAACACCAGTGCACAGACGCAATAGGCCATCGATCCCGCCGACGTTCAAACACACCCAGTGCGGTACTTTCCTTCTTGGGAAGGATCCGCATTACTGCGTCTTTCATCAGTACTGGTAAGCCAACATCACCAGCAACAACTCAAGGGCAATTTGAGGAGAAGTAAAGAATTATTTGGGTGCAGAAACAGCTGTACAAGTAGAGCAGGGCAGTCATGTCAAATTTGAGCTCAAACTGACGAATGTTATCGTAAATCCTCGATCTACGACAGACTCCGTGGAGAGTCAAGAATGTATGCTGATGTATTACGAGATAGCATTAGATGAGGAATAATGTTGAGCCCTGCTCCGTAGCAGTTTCACCGTGGTCATACTCTTCTGGTGGTTGGGAAAGCTAAAGACAAACATAGGTTGGAGGAAAAGAAATATAAGTTTAATAAAGGTAAGGAGGGATATAAGCTGAGAGAGGAATGTGTAGACGGTATTCTTGCGTTGCGCTAAAATAAAAGAATCTCCATCGACAGTGCTGCATTTCACACTTTCATGCCGAGTAATTACCGACGACCCTGAGGTCAGAGGACAGCAGAGTCGCGTTGATGCGTCATTGCGTGTACTGTTCAACCAATAATCACCAACATTGTTAAAATAAAATAAAAACTCGCAGTACCTACTCAGTTTCCCTCGATAACTGCCTTGCGGCATTTTGTAGTTGTATTTTCAACTTGTCTGCCTCAGAATTAGGTACCGAGCTTGAATGAACATGCTTTCTGCAGTTGCAGACGTCTTCTGAGGCAAGACTTCTGCATGACCTCTGCGAAGGTGCTGCATTTCCTCGAATGTCGGCCTCGCTATCCTTGCTTGAATTATCATTGTTGTTTAGTTTTTTGAGCACTTCTTCCAGCTTTTGCTTCAATGCCTTGTTTGTGCTGGTGATATTTTTTTGTTGAAGTTCCTGCTCAAAGCTGCGAGTCTGCAGGCTTTCGATAACCGTTTTCATGCGTTGCATTTCCTGCCGGTATTTGTTTCTTTCGTCCCTGACGTATGACCATTTTTGGCGCCAATTCGCTGTACATTCTGACCACCACTTCATGGTCTTTTCCATCTGAACGGCTCTTGTTTCCGCCTTAAATAGGCTACATATAGTTATGAATATTTATTGCGATAATATAATGACGGTTCTTTCCTGTTCCACACAGATCACACTGGGAAACCGTGCCACAACTTAAACTAAATTTTATTTTTAACTGAAAATCAAAAATAATTAGCAGCTAACTTTCAGCGCCAGTAAGCCTTATAGATCTATGGCAGGCTACCTCTAACCTGAAAAATAGTCCATCAGTTTGAAAACTATTTTTGAAACTGATTCAACACACTTGTGAACAAGGGTTTGATGAAAAGATTCAGAAGCTTATGTACATAATGATAACGAAAAGAACAATAGGCACCCTGCAGATCTGCGCCTTGAGACGGTACATGGTCGCAACTTTTTACGCAAATTTCAGTGCAGTCGTCAAACTAAGGACCAATGTTTGTACCGATGCATGGAAGACTGAGGAGGCCAGGGCGATGGGTGATCTGCTAGCTCTCCACACGTCTGAAATAATCGCTGCATTTTTAAGGCGCTCTGTCCTTTTCTTTATTTCCTACATTTTGAATTCATTCTTCAGTTTTTAAAGAGCGAAATTACTTTCGGGTTCCAGAGGAGGGGCAGTGGTCCGCTTCAGTGATCGCGACCCTCCGCCAAATAGACAAGCTCTTAGGTCAGGGTTTTGTGGGGCAATGATTCCAGGTCCTCCATACAACCGAACCAACCACTTGACCCTGGGCTGTCGTTCCTGTGCTTTGCAAAGAAAAC